AGCAGAGTATAAACGTTTTCTTTCCTAACTCTTTTCCGTATTTTATGGCAGATCTTCTTGTTTGACAGCCTTATATTAAAAGCATAATATGCAACTATATAAAGTTCTATAAATACTTCCACCAATCCATCATCTTATAATGGTAAACAACCATAATATTATTTGATGTCATTGTTTCGTACGTGACACTAAGATTTACAAGTATTTAGATTTTTTGATTTTCTATGGACAACTAATTAGTGGTTATTATAATTGAAAATATTAGATTCTACTCTTTATTTATTTATTAACTTTCTTAGTCTCTGTGTGCTGGTACTCGCAAGATACAGATAGTTCGATTTGCTATAAGTTTATTCATTTTAGCTATATATGAGATAATGACGACATGCGTCAGCTCTTATCAGTACGTCAGTACTTATCCATGGCTGATAAGTACGAAATGGTCCATAAGCTCTTTCAGTCAACTGTACAAATTTTGTCGTTCGGTTTTCGGCTGAAAGTATAAAAGGTTGGAATATATGCTTCGGTTAATATTTCTTATTTTAATTGAAAATTTCACTTATTTGTTCAATTTATTTATATTTTGTTGAACAATACGACGTCTGTTTTAAATAAAAAAAAAATATTTTTATTTTCAAAGAATTAAAATCAAACATCATTCCTTCTCCAAATGTGGTATTAGCAACACTCCTTGAAATTTTGTTTATCTCACTTGGAAAAATTTAATACATTTTAATTTGAGTGCATAAAAGAGGAAAGTAAAAAATATTTTCGCCATAAAAATTAAACGGCCATGAACTGACTTTATTACACTTAAAACAATTTTACTTTATTGCAGCAAAGGTACGAAGATTTCCCTTTAATTACAGTGTTCCAGGCTTTCGAGGCAGGGAACAGTGAACAGCGAACAACTCAACTTAAGAATGCATTAGTCCAAGAACTGGTAAAGGGAGAATAATTGAAGGAAAGCAATAAAATTGCGCTAACTTGGCATAAGACAAATAATTAACAGATTATAAAGTTTTCGCCGACGTTTAAATAATGAAAAAGAAAAGTTGGAATGTATACCGAAAATACTGAAAATACGGAAAAACGCAACGACAGCAATGCGAGTGGATGGATACCTTTTGGCGAGCGAGCTACTTTCGCCGGAAGTACAGCGAACACAGAACGCAACCCACAGTCAAAGTACAAGTAACTCATGGGAATAGAGTAATGCGAGGCGCCAAAGTAAAAATT